CCTTTCGCGGCCCCCAGTACAACTCCCATATCTTAACCCGAGCAGAGAGCAAAGTGACGAGGGATTTGGTACTATCCTGGCTACCCCCACCCGCAATGAAATACATAATAGGGACTTAAAAGGGGGTGCCAGCTTAGCCTACCATCTATAAGATCTGTAAGGTCTCGGACCGGAGTTTTTTTTCACGCTTTTGGATCCGGCGGACACCCTCAGACCGAAGGGCTATAACTCCGCCAAAAAAAGTACGCCGGGAAATCTCATTACATCAGTCAACGGAGGTTTCCAGCCGGCTTCCGATACAATTTTGGTTATTGTCCGTCGACTCTATAATTTGGGTAGAAACTGTAGTTAAACGTAAATTTTGGATACGAAAAATGTAGTTTTTTTGCAGTTTTTTCAACGGACCTGCTGGGAAAAAACGAATTTTCCCAGGCTAACGGCTTATATGCTGAAACAGCTTACTACTAAAAAAATATAGGTTGTTGCGATACGTTTTTCGCAAAATCCGGTGACGCGAACCCCTAGAAATTCCACATAGAACGCAGCTATTTGGGTCATCAGGCGACAAACCGCATCACCCTTGCTCGCGGACTAATACCAAAAACGCTTCGCTGGCCGTCCAACTTCACCGCGCCGAAAAACACTACAATCCCAAGGCTTTATGATCAATTCAGATCAAAACCTAGTTGAAAATCTACAGCGATCGCCGAGCTATGGGGAGCCAAACCTAGCGTGACAACCTCGCAGATCCGGCGATTTACTGCGCACTAATTCGGAACCCTGGTCAGAATTAAACTCCGACCCGGAACCGTAAGGTACAGGAACAGTGCTATTCCATACCTGTCAAAACTCTTAAACGGTGCTTAGTCTACCGTGTAATCACCCAACTACCAATTGTATATATTCTTGTTATTTAGTTTAGTTATGTTTGTAAATATTGATGATATTTTGTGTGTTCCCTAAAACTTCAACTTTTTAAAAAATTCAGCTTTTTGTACAACATTTTGTATTATTAGGCTGCAATGTTGTTTTAGTTTTATGTCAATTTGCAAATAAACCATTTATATATGAACGGGTAAAATAGAAGTCAAACCTGTACGTACAACAGGACCCAGCTTGAGTGATGAAAAAAATCTGCCGCTTGTTTAACAGATTATGCCGGTTACTTAGTACAGTACCAACGTTGTCATTGAGTTTATTCTAGAACGGTCAAAAAGGGAACAATTCAAGGTTCCGGGTCGGAGTTTAATTCTGGCAATTTTAATCGTTTCTGGAAGGTAAGCATTTCTTGCATGAATTCACTTTCTATGTCATTTTATATGAGTCGACCTCTGAATTTGACTTTCGTATAATTTCGGCGAAGTTTCTTTATTTATGGTGACTTAAACTGACATCTAACAGCAAAATCAAAGTGTTTTAAGCCTTCTTAAGGCAAAACTGGGTTTTCTGGTGTTCGGTTCAGGGCTCCTTAAATTCGCGACTTTCTTTCCTTTGGGTGGTGTTAAGTGATAGCCTAATAAGTACTCCTCACATCTTTACAGCGTTTATTTCAACTTCTTGCTCCTAGCCACGGCAATATCACCCAGATTGTGTTTTTCACCTCGTAATAATGCAGCCTTTCACACATTTAAGGAGCGCTTTGCTACTTAATAGGCCATTCACGGCGTAATAGTGAAGAGTTTGGTGTCGGACGCGTTTGATTCGGAAAGTGCGAACCCTGGTCTATCATTCAAGGTCGAAATCTGACGAATTCTTCCTTTTACTTTAAAACGACGAACCTAAAACGCGACCCCATGCTGTTTTCCCAGGGGACCCGATGACGTCACTGCGTGACGTCATCGATACCAACTGTTAAGAACGTTTTCTGCAAGTATGCGGCACCGAAATCACGAAAAGAACACATATATCCATAGCCAAGATCCAGAGCAGACTTTTATTTCCGTCATAACTGTTTTGAGAAAAGCGATGTTTGAAATAACGGTATTTTTCTAATTGCCCCATTGTGACGCTACCTGGAACCCGAGACTTGGCAATATAGCCTTAGAACACTGCATTTTTCACATGACTTTAAACCTCTGCCGCGGGAAAAGTACTCATCGCAGACATGTAAAATTTGGATATATGATAGATATGATGTTTCTGAAGAATTATGATAATTTTTATGAAAAATAGTCTCCTTAAGGTTCCGGGTCGGAGTTTAATTCTGACCAGGGTTCCAAATAGTGCGCAGTAAATCGCCGGATCTGCGAGGTTGTCACGCTAGGTTTGGCTCCCCATAGCTCGGCGATCGCTGTAGATTTTCAACTAGGTTTTGAATTGATCAAAAAGCCTTGGGATTGTAGTGTTTATCGGGCGCGGTGAAGTTGGACGGCCAGCGAAGCGTTTTTGGTATTAGTCCGCGAGCAAGGGTGATGCGGTTTGTCGCCTGATGACCCAAATAGCTGCGTTCTATGTGGAATTTCTAGGGGTTCGCGTCACCGGATTTTGTGAAAAACTTATCGCAACAACCTATATTTTTTTTCTGTTTTTCAGAAACAGAAAGTAGTAAGCTATTTCAGCATATAAGCCGTTAGCCTGGGAAAATTCGTTTTTTCCAAGCAGGTCCGTTGAAAAAACTGCAAAAAAACTACATTTTTCGTATCCAAAATTTACGTTTAACTACAGTTTCTACCCAAATTATAGAGTCGACGGACAATAACCAAAATTGTATCGGAAGCCGGCTGGAAACCTCCGTTGACTGATGTAATGAGATTTCCCGGCGTACTTTTTTTGGCGGAGTTATAGCCCTTCGGTCTGAGGGTGTCCGCCGGATCCAAAATCGTGAAAAAAACTCCGGTCCGAGACCTTAATCACATTCATACGAAAGACCATAGGTACAATTAGTCTTTTTTTTCTTGTGTGTGTACTTCGAGTTTCAATGGGTACCTCGAGTTTCTGTGGGTATACTTAGAGTTTCTATGAGTACTTAGAGGTTTCTTCGAGAAACTTAGAGTTTCTATGAGTACTTCGAGAGTTTCTATGAGTACTTTCTATGAGTTTCTATGGGTAGTTCGAGTTTCTATGATCACTTAGAGTTTGTATAGGAACTTAGAGTATGGTTTGTATAACATTTTAGAGTTTCTGTGCGCACTTAGAGTTTGTATGGGAACTTAAGAGTATGTATGCGTATTTAGGGTTTGTATGGGAACGTACTATAACGAAGTACCCATAGAAACTCTAAGTACTCATAGAAACTCTAACTATACCCACAGAAACTATAAGTACTCATAGAATCTCGAAGTAGCCATAGGAACTCGAAGTACAGACACAAGAAAAAAATACTAATTGTACCTATGGTCTTTCGTACCATCAACATACTACGTAGAATGGCGGACGGTTGAATGATTTAGTTTCATAGGCCATAAACTTTCCATTTCGTCGGTATGTTTTTTTTTTCAATCACAAGTTCTGTTTAAACTTTACTTGTCTTAAACAATTTCTAATTGTACAGTAGCAAGCACAAATATTGTTATCAAGTTGAAAACACAACTATGAACAGACTAAAGGCGTGGTCACATTTCCCAACCCGGGGCCCGGCCGGGCAGTCGTATGAAACGAAAATTATGATACAAGACAGCAAAACACACAAAAAAAGTTTTAGAAGATTAACCATGAGCACTATTTGTGTATACTCTTAATACAAATTGTTAATTTTTCGTTCACGCAAACAACCCGGCCGGGCCCCGGATTGGAAATGTGACCGTGCCCTAAAATGATTACCTGTCTCTCATTTACGGTGAGAACGTTCTAGAACCAGTCCGTTGCTATAGTGAGAGCTTCAAAACAAGTACAAGACGAGTACAGCCACTCGTTACACACAACCAGGAGCAGTCTCGTTTTACTTTGGGCAAATAACAGTCGACAAGAATGTTCAGCAAAGTCAAAAGTGCCTACGACGCGGCCAAGAAGAATGTGGACGCCGCCCTCGCCAAGTTCCACGGGAAAGGTATTTTAGCTTGTGACATATTATGTGTATGTGTCAGTGTGAGTGTGCGTGTATGTGTGTGTGTGTGTGTGTGTGTGTGTGTGTGTGTGTGTGTGTGTGCGTGTGCGTGTGCGTGTGTGTGTGTGTGTGTGTGTGCGCGCGCGCGTGCGTGTGTGTGTGTTAAGTACTCTGACGTATCCGCCTTACAACCTTAACCTACCTGTTCTAAGGTAAACGTTTATAGCGTTTTAAAATTATTAAATAGGAAAGATAAGATGAATTCTTACCGAGCCTTAAAGAGCCTAATACCAACTTTTTAAACGTAAAAAGTACTTTCTTTCTTTCATTCATTCATTCATTCATTCATTCATTCATTCATTCATTCATTCATTCATTCATTCATTCATTCATTCATTCATTCATTCATTCATTCATTCATTCATTCATTCATTCATTCATTCATTCATTCATTCATTCATTCATTCATTCATTCATAGACGACCTGTTCTCTGACGTGGACGCTAACCGGTACGCCCGGGACGTCCATCTGTGCGCGGCGGTGCTGAAGGACCCGGGGGCCGCGGACGAGGATAAAGTCACGGCGGTCATGACCATGGGACACTTGGCGTTCACTGGTGTGTACCACCGTTAGGCCACACAGACTTAATTTTATGGATGACATCCGCGCGCGCATGGATTTTCGCCTGTTCTCAAAAAAAAAAAAAAAAAGATCACGTCCACCGAGTTTCTGGCCTGGTTCTAGGCCTGGGTAGTCCATGCTAGTTAGCGACAATATGGGGCCGGGCACCCAGGCTACCGAAGCTCCACGACTCAGGAACTCAGTACATACCTACAGTACCGATTCATAAATTCCACAAAAAGCCAGCATGTGCCGGCTTGTAGTCGTCGCTAAGTACTGCCGCAAATCCACAATACCAGCTTTACATTCCTGTGGTTTAGTAGTATTTTTATTTTTGACCGGAATTTTTTTATTCGCCCGCGCGCACTAGTTTGGCGGTCTTCAGAGGATGTCATCCAGAAAATTAAGTCGGTGTGGCCTTAGGCTTCTAACCTAGTTCTAGCCCACCGTACTGTTCTAACCAGTCGTACCAGAAATACTTTGCCAATTGTCCTTATGCTTGACAACTTGTAAGCTGCTTATGCATTTTAGCTTTCCTTCATTTGTTAAATTTCATATGTCACTTGATTATAATAACTTCATGTTAAAATTATCATTTCTTGACTTAGTTAAATTTTCCCCATTTTCTTGTTGAATTGCTAGTTGCCACTCTTTTATTGGTTGAGCTTATGGTTGCCATTGTTGAACTACATGTTTGCGAAATTATCATTTTTAGGTCAACTACGTCCATGCCTAAATACAGAATGCCATACAAAACTCAGTTTGGAACTTCAGCGGCTTTTGATTGAAAATCTCCAGTTTATCGTATTGGAAAACGTTGTGCTTCTAGTGAATACAAATTAGAACATGGCCACTACCCCTAGGCCAATGAGAGCCCTTCATTTTCTGTGTCCATATCCCCATAGTGCAAAAAAGTGTGGTACTATCAAAAAAGTGTTGTACTATCCAAAAAGTGTGGTACTAAAACTCATTTGCATAAAATTAGTACCATACTTTTTAGATAGTACCACACTTTTGGGTTTTAATTGAGACCAGGTCCCTCTCTGTGTACACTAATCACCCAAGGGACAATAGAAAACACAAACAGACCAGCTTTCTCTAAGACATTGCTGATATTAAACAAGAAAAACTGATGTTGAACAAGTTTGAAAGGAAACTTCGGGGAAATGGTCATGTTCTAAGTCAGATAGACCATGGGCCAGGCGAGTTTACTGGGATATAGTGTTGCCCACCCACTCGGGGACTACCTGACACCCTCGGCTATCGCCTCGGGAGTCAGGCAGTCCCCTTGTGGGCGGAGCAACACTATTTCCCAGTAAACTCGCCTGGCCCATGGTCTATCTATAAAGCTAAGGTCCCAATTACGCCGGTGCCCGTCGGGGATGTAGCCCCGGCTGGCCCCGGCCGGGTTCAGGAGTCGAGCGGGCATCGGCTGTCGTGGTCAAAGATTTCCTTCAGTATTATTTTGTAAGAAATTTTGTCACCCTCTTTGGTCGGTATACGGCAGGCACCCGGCAGGTACCCAGCAGATTCTCTGACCATGTCTTGTATTGACGTATACGTAATGCAGAATTCACGTATTTGTTGTGATCATTTGATCTGTGAGGTCACACATTTTACCCGGGTTTACGAAGTACACACCTTTATTCTGTTCATCTGGTCTGTGACGTAAGAAATGTCCGGTGGAATGCCGGCAACCGGAGGGGTACCTCTCGGTGTTCTCACGATTAGGTCACGGCGTCTTTTTGTCAGCGGGGCCCGGGTAGAATTTAACTCAGAATTAAATTCTTATCGGGGCCCCGACGGGCCAAAAAATAGCCCGGTAGCCGCAGGATGCCCCGCGGGGCCACGTCGGGGTCCCGCCAGAAAGTGGTAAAAAACAGCCCGGGAGCTACCCGCCAGGGCCCCTTTTCCTAATTGGGACCTTAGCTTAACTAGGTTATACCCTTGATTATACTCACTGTTTCTACTCCCTTGCTGTCATCTGCAGGTGGAGACTGTTCCAAAGCGGTGCTGGAATACGTCAGTAAAATTGTCTTCATTTTGAACGAGTCCAACTCTTCAGTGAGACTGCGGCTAGCCTGCATGAGCGCCCTGGGTGAGTATACAGGTCTCTTTTCACATCCGCCATGTTGGATTTATAGTGTATATCTGTTAGGCCACACCGCTTAATTTTATGGATGACATCCGCGCGCGCCCTCAAAAAAAGTCCTCCGAGGCTCTGGCCTGGCTCTAGGCCTGGGTAGTCCATGGTAGTTAGGTACAATACGGAGCCGATGGTAACTCTGGAGGATAGCACCGATGGCACCGAAGCTCCACGACTCAAGAACTCAGTACATACGTACAGTGCCGATTCATAAATTCCGCAAAAAGCCCACATGTGCCGGCTTGTCGTATACGTCGCTATGTACTGCCGCGAATTCACAATACCAGCTTTGTATTTCGGTGGTTTAGCAGCGTTTTTATTGTTGGCCGGAATTTTTTTTCTCACTAGTTTGTGGGTCTTCAGAGGATGTCATCCATAAAATTAAGACGGTGTGGCCTGAAACACCTGGTTGCTGCCGAGATTCATATGATAATCAGGCCATGTTGATTGGATAGATAAATGTTGATGACATCTATGTTTTGTACGATTTACAGCATGGTCGAAAACATTTTTTGGAAACGGACGAAAATTCGTGCGCGCACATATGTCATCGACATATATTAATCAAATCGACATGGCTTTTATACCGCGATGTCTTTAAAATATGCCCTTTCCTTCGTCCCCTTACAGGAGAGTTTTGCATTAGTTATTCTGACGACTCCCTTCTGTGTGAACTGCGCAAGTTGGGACTGGTCCAGACCCTGGTGAACATGGCCAGTAGTACGGGCGAGCCGAACCTCCAGCAGTGGGCCTGCTACACACTCAGACTCATGATTTCTGGTGGGTGAAAATAATCTCTGAACAACGTCCGAAGATTTTACACTTCCGTGAAATATTAACTTGTGGGACGGAAGTATTGTTTTCGGTCTCGTTAGTTGATAGTTTGTGTGTTTGTGTCGAGTCCGTACTATGACAGTTCTACACACTAAAATAAAAAGACTCATGGATTCTGGTGGAAAAACAACCTATGATCTGATCAACGTTAAAAGGTTTCATTCCTCCTTGAAGTAGTTACTTCCGGGACGGAAGGATTGGTTCTGGTCGCGTTAGTTCATAGTTTGTTTGTTTTTGGCGAGTCCGTACTGAGACATGGGGAAACGAGTCATTGAGGTTGAGTGTTACTGGAGTGATAACTCTATCTAGATAACTACGGACGCACAAACAAATAAATACACAAGCACACACACAAAAAAACAAAACCGCTACACATACGAAGGTAATGCGATCTTTGAGAAAACCGTAACACAGCCTGTAGTCTCCCTATAGATTTACATTACTACAGAAAGCTTTTAGCATTCATGAATTCCTAAGATAATCAACATTTTATCCATTCTCATCTTTGTCTTTAAAAGAAAACATTTGAGATGCTTTAGAAGTTTAGATTTCTACCTTCTTCCTACGGACTGTTTAAAAAAAAGAAAACATCCGATAATGAGTGGTTGATGTATTCACTTCTTTTAATGACCACATTATACAAGTGTAAATTGCACTAAGTCATCACTTACAAAGTATTGTAGACAACCAAGCGCACTGTAGAACTCTAGTATTGGAAAATACATTCCATGGATATATTTAGATTATTAGAAAGACGAAGACAGAAGATAAATACTTAAATGATGATGATGATGTTCGTCCATCGTTAAATACTAAAATAATGTGTAACAAACAACCAAACGGTGATACCTGTACAAATGACCACCTCTGCACACTGACCATCTAGCCATTTTGGCCACTACGTCTTCTGACGGTTGCTTTGATTTTTTTCATTAATCAAAACGTCCTGTCTCGGTATCACCTGTCTATTGTGACCATTTTCGTTAAGCCATTTGGCTTTGAGTGGTGAATGTATACAGGTATGACTGTATTTCTGAGTTGCGTTCTTGCATGATACTTTTCTATAATCAAAATACTATAAATGATTTTGTTTAGAGTTAAAACTTTAGATCCTACACAAAAATTCTCTCACCTAAAGCATTCAACCAGTCACTCTTGTCTTCCTCAGTAGACTGACCCAGTGAGGCTTGTGACGTCAACACTGGGTCCTACATCAGGGCCCTACATCAGGGCCCATCTCCCTTCACTGAACCGCGACGAGGGCCGACATCGTCTACCAGATATCTTTGACCCAGTGTTGACGTCACACTTCAAAGAAGCCACGTGGCAAGCTTCACTGGGTCAGTCTACTGAGGAAGACCACAGTGACTGGTCGAAAGCTCTAGGTGAGAGAATGTTTTGTGCTGGATCTACTAAAGTTTTAACTCTAAACATGTAACTACCAACACAGACGACCTTTCATGATAGTATAGATGATTTTTTTTCTTTTGATCCCAGATGACGCCACGACTCTGAACATGGCTTCTGATGTTCTGAATGTTGACCTCAAGCTGAGACGCGCACGCGCACTGGACTGGTCCAACTGGAACGACAACGAGGCTGACGTCATACTAAACTTACTTGGCTTCGGAGACGACGTCTAGTAAAGGACATAGTCGTACAATCGCCGTACAATCGCCGTACGATCGTCGTACAATCGCTATACGATCGTGAAATGGAAGCATTTTAGTCATGTGCGTGTCTTGCAAAATTCAGCTGTTCTGTTACGGAAAAGACTGTCTTAGGCCACAGCAAGTAAATTTCATGGATGATATCCTCCGCAGACTCCAAGACTCCAAATCTAATGCGAGCGGGCGAAATAAACACTGAGGTGGGCCTAAAAAAAGAAGATTCCTACATTTTAAAATTTTGACTCAATCATTGTACAAATGGTTTTGATTCAGTGGGAACATCACATATACACAGCCAACATCACATATCACTGCATCAAAGTAAGAAACAAAACATTAAATCAGAGCCTTTTCTTGTCTCCTCTGCCATCCATGTTCCGGCATGGCAACAGACATCTTTGCCCGGCCCATTTTCGGCATGGTGTCAGAAGGTAACAATTTTTTATCCAAAATCAGGCGAAAAGTAATGCGTGCGCTGATGTCATCCATAAAAATTACTTGCTGTGGCCTTAGGTCCTTGTTGGAGTATGTTTATGTTTCTCTCACAACCAGCTTGAAAATTCTACGGCATCAAAATCGTAGGACGACCGACCACGAATGTGAACGTAACTTGTTACGTAACTTACAAAAAATATCACAGCATGAGAAAATATACCAAAGACGTACACAGTATCATCACAGCGGCTTCTCGCTACCAACAATATACTAGGTTTTTTAGATGATAATAAGGTATTTACTAAGTCCGCAAGTTATTAACGTCTTGATACAAAGTTTTTTTCTTATCCGAGAGTTCGTCACAAACGATTGAAAATACATCTTGAACTGAGCTCTGAGAAGAATATAAGGATAAGAAATAAACATATAATTTTCATAACTCATCTTTTTACAACTGCATCATCATTTCGGACGCATAGCTCTTTTTTTAGTAGCAGTGTCCTGTAGTCAAACCTTAGTCTTATTTATAGAGCTGGTTTTGTCCTGTTTTCTCACTTGACTCAGGTTAAGATGAGTACCTAGCTTCGGTTAGGGACGTCCTCTTGGATAAGACGTAAAGTCGGAGGTGCCGCGAGAAGAGCAACATCTGGAGGACGATAAAGATCCCACCACGCTTATCGAAAAGAGCAGGGGTCCTTCCCGGTGAGAGTGGTTCAAACCTTACAGTCTTGTCTCAGGTTTGACATCTTGAAAATAAAGGTGATGATCATCCGTCAATCCGTCCAGAACTGTGTAACGCATAAATGAAATTACAGTTCTTCTTTTGTTAGATGCTGTTTTAATGGCTAGATGGCTCCATCCGTGTCTTTCTTTTTACTTTGGTCCATTATTGCTACACTCTGCGTCGTCTACGCAAACTGCTGTGTCGTTTGCGTCCTTTTTTCCCATCGGCGATTGTAAGATGTAAATTGTCCGTGATTGTCCCTGCTCACAAGGACCAAGAATTTGGATGGCTTCACTTTTGCCTTTCTGCTTACCAACTTGCGAGGGTAAGATGTTACTGTTCGTGAGAGAAAACGCTTTCGTTTGCCTCTTGTCCCAAATTTCCAACACCGACACAAAGAAAGGACCAAACAGCTAGATGGCTCCATTTGTGTCTTTCTGTTTGTCCTCTGGCGTGGGTAACTTGTTGATGTCCGTGAGAGAGGGACGCTTTTTTAGTTTATCCCCGGTGACACATTTCCAGCACCGGCAGAAGAAAGGACCGAGCAGCTTCTTGAACGCCTCCCTGAACTGCATGTGGCACATCGCGTACAAGAACGGGTTCAACATGGAGTTCAACCACAGCATCCAGAACGCCCATTCGAAGAGGGTGTCGCTCACACAGCTCCTGCAGAGTGAGCGGACCAGCATGGTGATGGTGTAGGGAGCCCAGCAGATGGCAAACGTCGTCACGATGATAGCCAGGGCCCTGGCGGCCTTCTTCTCCCGCGCTCGGGTGTTCTTGGAGAGGTCCGAGACTCTCTGACTCGGCGGCTCGCCGCTCAGTTTGAGCTGCTTGGCGGCGTTCTTGATGTCCTGCTGTGCCGGCGGGAAGGTGTGCGTTCGGGAGAGCCTCCTCTCCTTTGTCGCCGGCGTTCTGACCGTGAGGTGCAGCTGTGGTTTTCTCGCCAGCTTCCCGGTGGATCTTCCCGTCCGTTCCCCGCGGATGTTGCTGGTGCGCATGGCCCCGTGGCGCCGCAGCCGCTTCCCCCTCCGCCTGATGCTCCAGTACGTCGCAAAGTTCATCACGGCCACAGACGTGAAGGGGATGAAGAACTCCACAAGAGCCGTGGAGAACAGGAACGGGAAGTTCTCGTGGAATCCCACGTAGCATTTTCCCTCCGGCAGTTCCACGCCTGACAGGGTTCTCCAGACCAGGATGGCGGGTCCGTACAGCAGGAAAGCGATGATCCACACGCTCACCATCATGACCACCGTCTTCTTCAGAGACCTCTGCGCGCGGTGTTTGATGGCTTTCGTCACCAGCAGGTAGCGGTCCAGGCTGATGAGGGTGATGCTGAGGACGGAGGCGGAACCTGAGGATGTAAAATGACAAAAACCTATCATGAAAGTTCATCTGTGCTGGTAGTAAACATATTGTTTTTACTCAGTTTCTTCCTCCTCTTCTGTTCCAAACACTAACCTCTGACCTAACCAATGGCATGATTTGTTGACGTCTGTCACCATGGTGACTGGTGTTGGGTTACATAATGTTGCAAGTTCATGGTCTGCTCTGCTCCTGTCACCATATACTAGTAGTACATGTATGTGAATGTGTTTAAGTAAGAATTTAAAAGTCAGACCATGTCCGAAGGTAAACATTATGCATTTGCTTTGCAAATGTTACTTGTCTAGTTATAGTAAAACGTTGAACTTTATTCCAACAAACAATTTACAGAGAGATCAAATTTTCAGCGACCACTGTCGCCTTCATCAGGATAATTAATGACCAATTACTTCACAATTGCTTACGTCACGTATCAGTAAAGATTCGTGTGAATAAGGTCACGTGTTTGTAAACCGTAATTCTCGCGAGATCACGTCGTGAAGTGATTGGTCATTAATTATCCTGATGAAGGTGACAGTGGTCGCTGAAAATTTGATCTCTCTGTAAATTGTGTGTTGGAATAAAGTTTAACGTTTACTATAAAAAAACTATAATTACTAGTTTATGATTATGAAGACGAAACGCATTTTATCTCAAACTGTACTCTCTATAGCAAAGAACGAAATGAACTCTTTGATCCAAATTCCCTAACATTCACACATATACAAATGAAAAGAAAGCTACTCTCCTCTTAACATCCGAAAACCCACATATTACAGAAAAAGTGGGATCTTTTGTCTTCCTCTGTCTTAAAATAAGAAGTCAAACCTTGGAACGTGACGTCAGAGATACGTGACCGTAGTAGCGGGTCATACGTGCCAGGTAACTTGTGTCGCCCCCCGTCTCTGTTCAGGGTAGGTCTGTGAGCTCTTATTTTACACATATGTTGAGGGTGACAAGGTTTTACTATCTTCAGCATGAAAGTTCATCTAAGTTGGTAAATTACATTATGAAAAACTTAAACTGTTCTCCAATTCAAAAATTGACTCACCAGAAATTTTCGACTGAATCACTCAGTCTTCCTCAGCTACCTGACCCAAATGCTGTGGACACGTGATTTTTCCCACGTGTGACGTCAGCAAAGGGTCAAAGGTTGTCTGAAGTCGATATCGATCCCCGTCCCGGTTGAGCGATGGTTGAAGTGCACAAGCATTTGGGTCAGATAGCTGAGGAAGACTGAGTGATTCAGTCGAAAATTTCTGGTGAGTCAAATTTTGAGTTGGAGAACAGTTTATGTTTTTCATAAGGTTTTACTATCAATATGCAGTAGGTAGGAATACTCACCATCCACGTAGTCTATGACAAGCCAGACGGTACAGAAGGTCTCTCCGAGCTGCCAGACCCCGCTGAGCAGGTACGGTGCGTACACGGGCATGGCGAACACGCCGATCACGAAGTCCGTGATGGCCAGGTTCAGGATGAAGTAGTTACTGGAGATGCGCAGCTCCTTGACCAGGATGAAGGACACGATGACCAGCACGTTCCCCGCGATGGTCAGTAAAGCCGCGATGGAGATGACCACTGCAAGGAGCACGGTGACCTCCGGGGACAGAGGCGCCTGGTCATCCCCTGGCGTCCCCTCCGTTGAGTTTTCCGCACTCCCGTTCATGTTGATCTGTAAGGAACAGTCATGCCGTCAAACATCAGGGCATTACAACCATCCCTCAACAGAGACGGGGGGCGCCACAGACTTTCTGCAACCTATGATCCACTGCTCACGTATAGTATCTGCGTGACGTCACGGAAGCGGTGGATTGTTCATTCCTTTAATTGACAAAGACTGGAGTTGTACAGCCGAAAATTTGGTTGAGTCCAATTTGTTGTGTTGGAAATTACAGTTTAAACTTGCTTCATAAATATCAGAGTTATCAACCAAGAATTGAGGTGTTCAAAAACTCGTATTTCCCCACAACTATCGTAGACTGGAACTCGTTGCCACCAAGCACAGTTGGGACATCATCACTAGAAAGCTTTAAATAACTCCTGCAATTAAATGAGCAAATATTGGGTGTAACAAGTCGGTGTGATACAGCTAGCTGCCGCCGCGCCGCGTGCCTGCGAAGCTGGTGTGTTACGCCGAAGGACGGTTATACCGGCTACACTGATACAGAAGCTGGTGTGTTACGCCGAAGGGCGGTTATACCGGCTATACAGATACAGAAGCTGGTGCGTTACACCGAAGGGCGGTTATACCGGCTATACAGATACAAAAGCTGGTGTGTTACGCCGAAGGGCGGTTATACCGGCTATACAGATACAGAAGCTGGTGTGTTACGCCAAAGGGCGGTTATACCGACTATACATATACAGATACAGAAGCTGGTGTGTTACGCCAAAGGGCGGTTATACCGGCTATACATATACAGATACAGAAGCTGGTGTGTTACGCCAAAGGACGGTTATACCGACTATACATATACAGATACAGAAGCTGGTGTGTTACGCCAAAGGGCGGTTATACCGACTATACATATACAGATACAGAAGCTGGTGTGGTACGACAAAGGGCGGCTATTCTGATACAGATACAGATGCAGAAGGCATACCGCATGATTGTCATTTGTAGTTAATACTTTTTAACCGATGTGTTATTCCTTGTATTTTTTATACCGTATTATGAATGTGAATGTAAATATAATGTACTCGTACTTTGTATGTAATTGGTGTAGGAGCCATGGAACATTAGACCCTTAAGGGTCTAAAGGGCATCTCAATAAACTGAAAATGAAACATCCCATTGACTAATCTTCAAGCAGATCCTCCGGTGGCAAGACAGTATCCATTGGTCAGAGGAGTGTCCATTATACGAAGGCCCACAACGACACTTCCATACACCTCTTCCACGGTTGCCAATGGGTTATACCATCCACACCGCTCTTTCGCGGCCCTTCCACACCGCCGCGGAAGGCATATCCCTTGGCACGGTTGTCGCGGAAGAGGTGTATGGAAGTGTCGTTGTGGGCCTTCGTACCATTAATTTGATCAGGCAACAACTGGATGTTATCAGCCTTTTATCGACTGTTGGCATATCCTTCAGTGGCTAACGGACACTCCTCTGGCCAATGGATACTGTCAGGCCGCCGTAGGATCTGTTGGGAGATTATCCATCTGAATATTGATAATCTACGACACAGAACTGCCGTCACAAAACTCCGAATTAGTTGCCACAAATTACACATCGAAACCGGTAGACATAACCGCACTCCCCTAGAACAACGAATATGTCGGTACTGTGATCTAGGAAGAATCGAAGATGAGAAACATTTTGTAACAGAATGTAAACTATACAACAAAGAGAGAGTAGATCTTTATAATCAGATACAATCTATGTTCCCCTATTTCATATATCTAAGCTGTACAGATAAATTTATATTTCTAATGAGCTTAGACAGACCTTCTGTATTGAAACATATCTGTTCTTACATTTTTGCCATTACTAAGAAACGAGAAGAAACCGCATTTACTTGATTGTAGCTACTTGACGATGTATATATGTAACGTTATCTATATCCCATCTTTTTGTGACCTGTACTTAACCCATTGGGTATGTGTGTACAATAAAGGTCTTCATTCATTCATTGACAACTAAGTTCTTATAGCGTCTAATCAGAACTTCGTTTTAGACACGAAAAGTACAAAAGGTTGAAGAAATCGGAGATTTAAGACTTCCGGGATTGTATTGGGTATCCCGGTGAATGTTTTAGAATTCAGAATTCGAACCCTGGGGCCCCTTGGTCGTTGCTAGAGCATTCTCTTCAATTGCTATTTTCAAACAAAGTCGTACGTTTTCAATATTCCACCCATCTACCGATCCTCCGAGAACAAACGCGAATAGAGAAAACAAACTCCCTGGCACTTTTGATCAATTGCTTACGTCACGTATCAGTAAAGTCTCGTGTGAATAAGGTCACGTGTTTGTAAACCGTAACTCTCGCGAGATCACGTTGTGAAGGGATTGGTCATTAATTATCCTGATGAAGGCGACAGTGGTCGCTGAAAATTTGATCCCTGTAAATAGTGTGTTGGAATAAAGTTTAACGTTTTACCATAAAACTTTTGATTTATTGAAAGAAAATTGGCAGCCTTTCAAAAAACCCCTCAACACTATAACTTGCCAGCGTAAGTTCCCTGCGGGTTTTTTCCATGCTCTTCTGTCAAAACGACGTACGCAATCCTATTAGTACCACCAGCTAATCAATCTTTCACGCGGCTAAAAGCGCTTATTGTGAATGTCTAGAACACCCTTAAGGGCCACGTGCAGCGTTAATTGGTCTCCCTGGAAGGAACAGGTGCAACGGAAGAAACTTGGGAGGAGGCTGGGACGCTTTCTTCGTTTCTTAAGTAGCTGTGGTTAATCAAAGAATGATGCACGTCCCCAATCTTACCGGAAATATCGTTAGGCCACAGCAAGTAAATTTTATGGATGACATCCTCCGCAGATCTAATGTGAGCGGGCCAAAAAAAACAAAAAAAAAAAAAACAAGGCGGGTCAAAAAAAACAAGGTTCCAACATTTTGAAATCTTTGTACTTTGTCATTGGTATGAGATTTGATGAGGTGTAACCTAAGTAACAGCAAGTAAATTTTATGGATGACATCCTCCGCAGACTCCAAATCTAATGCGAGCGGGCGAAAAAAAAAACAAGACGGGCCGAAAATAACAAGGTTCCTAAATTTTAAAATTTTGACTCAATCATTGTACAAATGGTTTTGATTCAGTGAGAATATCGCATATACACAGCCAACATCATATATCACTGCAGTGCATCAAAGTAAGGAACAAAACATTAAATCAGAGCCTTTTCTTGTCTCCTCTGCCATCCATGTTCCGGCATCTGCCACCCATGTTCCGGCATCTGCCTTTTCTTGTCTCCTCTATTTATAGTTATCTGCCATTCACCTTCCGGCATGGCAACAGACATCTTTGCCCATTTTTTGGCATGGTGACTACTGTTAGAAGGCAACAATTTTGTTCCAAAATCAGGCGAAAATTAATGCGCGTGCTGATGTCATCCGTAAAAATTACTTGCTGCGGCCTTAGTGCGTGTGGAGATAATAGGCATGACCTGTCCTCGAAAGTAGGTTGGGACCGTGACAGAAAATCCAACCGGTGGGCCGGTAGACAAGAAGATGACTACGAACCACAGGCAAACGTAAGAGTCCGTGAAGTTTTAAAGGCATCCAGTGCAGTTTTTAGGGCTTGAAAACCCTATTTTCAAAGCCAATATTCTAGTCACTTATCTACATACTGAGTTGAAACCACGCTATCCCAATGTATATTGACCCTCATGGAGCAAAAATAACCAAAATTCTGACGGAAAATGGTTACTGGAACGGCCCAGGGCTGATTTTTAGGGTACCGCCCAGAAAATAAAGGACTCATCTCAGGGCTTGTTTCTGCAGTTTTAAAAGCCCAAAGTATGAAATGCTGACTCAAATGTGCCACTGTGAAGCAGCTAGTATGTGTCAATATCAGAAAGATTGCCTTATTCAGAATATTTCCAGTTTTGCTGCTCTGAAATCGCACTGGATGATATGCCTTTAACCTACTTTTCAATGCATTCCACGTACGTTATGCGGCAATCCGAGCATCCTAACACCGCGGCCCGCCTTTCCATTTCCTCCCCTAAATTTGATACTGACATTTACTGGCATGTTTTAGCGCATTTCTGTCATTATTTCATACAATTGAAGTCTTTAAAATAGTCCCAAAACAAGCTATACGTGGGGCGTCTCTTTATTTTTGGGTACCACTGATAAATAACTAGAACCAGCTGTGATATAAAACAAGCAAGACAGCAACAGCAACACATTTTCGCCTCTACATATATTATAATGAAAGATTCTCTTCAATTGTATACAAGGTTATTTCCCTAGTTTTAGATTTTTAGATAGAAAATAAAAATTCACATTCCTCATGAAACTCGATAATCCTCGTACTATAAACTCCATCTGTTCTTACATTTACAACTGTCTTAAGAAGCGAGAAGAAGCAGAACCTGTACATATGTAGTTTATATATTAGTCTGCAATCGCTACATGTATTTACCATGACATGTACCTAGTTCGCAATGAGCAAACATGTACAATAAAGGTCTTTCATTCATTCATTGAAAGAATTACAAGAAAATTGACATTCAAAATCCAGTTTTGCCTCCCTGAAATTTCTTATCTTGAGATGAATAGCCTTGGACATTAAACGATTAGATACTAAGTATCCTGTACAACTCCGATGTAAGAAATAGTCATGCATTGCAGCAATATAATGCTTACTACTAAGCCTTGATTAAGGAAGTTTAATGCGGCTGTCCTCATAATGACTGCTGCTTATGCTTCGGTCCCAATTGAAAAAAGGGGCCCTGCCGGGTAGTCCCCGGGCTGTTTTATGGCATTTTCGTGGGAGACCCCTACGTGGCCCCGCGGGACACCCTGTGGCTACCGGCCTATTTTTCGGCCCGGTGGGGACCCGAGAAGAGTTTAATTTTGACTCAAATTCTACCCGGGCCCCGCTGGCAAAAAGACACCGTGACCTCACCGTGAGAACACCGAGAGGTACCCCTCCGGTTGCCGGCAGTCCACCGGGACACATTTGTTACGTCACAGACCAGAT